CTTACACACAGCCCCACAGATGGCATTACACGGCACACGCACTTGCACACATGTGTGAACTCTGAGTGAGGTCTTTGGGCGGTTTATGGTGTCCAGCTCCTGGTATTCTGTGCTTGGTTAAGATGTTCTCATTGGGGGCGCCTGGGTGGCTCAGTGGATTAAGCCGCTGCCTTCGGCTCAGGTCATGATCTCAGTGTCCTGGGATCGAGCCCCGCATCAGGCTCTTTGCTCAGCAGGGAGCCTGCTTCTCTCTGCCTGACTCTCTGCCTACTTGTGATCTCTCTCTCTGTCAAATAAATAAATAAAATCTTTAAAAAAAAAAAAAAGATGTTCTCATTGTGGGCAAGTGGGTAAAAGACACACGAGACCTCTCTGTAGTGCTCTTGCAATTTTCTGTGAGTCTAGAATCATTTCAAAATAAAAACATAAAAAGGGGGGGGGAATAACACTTCCCTACCTCGGATGACTTGCTTTGCTAACAAAACATGAAAGGAAGTGCCAAGCAGAGCTTTTATTTTCTGACATGACTGCCAACGATTTTCCACACACAAGCTCTCTGGCTGTCCAGGTGCTTGAGTGAACAGTGGGCCTGCAGTGGATGTGGGGAGGGAGCAGGAAGTCTGCTCTTGAAAATCAGAGACTGTGGGATGGTTACTGCAGTGAAAACCCAGCCTGTCCTGGAGAGTCTGGTACCCCGGCACCTGTGCTCACGATATGGGGGTAGGGGGAGCCTGCTTCCTGTCTGTTCTTTCTTAGCCCTCGATGGTCCTACTTTGGGATAATTTTCAATTTACTTTAAAAATCACTTGGTATTTTTATGAGACATTTTTATCAGTATATCAGCACCTGGCACATGTGAAGTATTCAATAAATGTTCTTTAAAAAATACCCCCTTCCTTATTATTTCTTCATGAAGTCAGTTCACTAAAAATTAGGCCAGTAACAAATTTTAGTAACATGTATGGTAATGTCATGTGTAACTTAGGAACTGTGGGCAAAGTAGCAGCCTAGAAACACAGAATTGTAGTTATCCTAGAAGTCTAGTGTTTAGATGAGGAGAAACCTTATTTCTTCATGGAGGGTGGGGGAGGGAAGGCCCAAGCTCAACTCATTAAATGTTTGTATAATAATAAGCAGCCAACATGTGTTTTATTACTTTGGACCCCTTGTGATTTTAGCAAACCTGTGTTCACATGTGATCCACTTCTGGGTCTCATAAAAGGTCTGCCACTCTGCCTCTGCAATCTTGAGGAACAGGAGTCAGGGCTGCAGGGCTACCCAGCCGGCCCAGGGAAGGCAGGTGTGCGCTGCATGGTGCGCTTGACGTGAGCTCCCTGACTTCTTAGGAGGCAGCCTCACCTCTTCCACTCAACCAAACCACTTCAAAAACTCAAAAGAATATTCTAAGAGACACCTTTTTAAAGTCCTTGCTAATGCAGAGATTTCCACTGAGACACAAAATAACCATAGCATGAGTGGAAAGAGAAGGGATAATAATTTCCACGTTGCTGACAATTCAGAAGTCCATACAATGACTTAGTGGGGTTGTTTGGGGGGTCATGGGGAGCCCTGACAGCTGAACACATGAAATCCCAGTCAGTTGGAAACCCCATTTTCCATGGGAACATCATGCTCTTCCTAGGATGATAAGCAGACTAAGCAATGACCCCTTTCTCCCTTTGCCTTGCTAAGAGACCTACAGCAAACAAGAAGTTTGGGTAACTGGACCCTGAATGTGGAACTCTTGGCATTTGTGATGTGTTTTGGTTGATAGTCCCAAATGATTGTTTTTATCAAACAAACATACAGTAGACATACTGTCAGTTGGCTGGAGAAAAATCTTCAGTAACCAGCAAGGTATGCCCATCCCCAGGGCCGCCTCAGAGCCCTCCAGACAGAATTACTTGAAGGAAATGTTGGCAGCATGGCACTTCTTGGAGAGGAGGGAAGAAGCCGTGAAGGTCCCACTAGCAAAGTGTGCCGCTCCGTGAAGCCTGGGACTGAAATGGTCTGGTCAGCATGGCGTGACTCCATTCACTGTGGGCGGCCGGGGAGTGGGGTGACTAAGACCCGCATGGGAGGGGCTGATCCTCACCTTGGGGGGTGTAGGTGGGCAGAATTGCTATAGCCGGCACATTTCCCCAAATGTCTGATAAAACACAATAACTACCTCTCTCAGCTCTAAAACACCCCTTTAGTTTAACAAGGAAACAAAATTCTGTCCCAATAAACTCTTATTATTCCCTAAAACAGTATCTCCCCGGACTATATCACCACCCTCTGCCTCCAACAAATACTTTTTTAAGTTTTTATTTTAATTCCCGTTAACCTTCACTCCAACATATTCTATCTGGTTGCTGCTCCCTAGTGATCGATTTTTTAAACTTTTATACAAAAAGTCATTATGATGATCAAAGCAATAAACATGAAGAAAGAATAGCTTGATATTTATTTTCAATGTAGCTTATAAATCACTGAGGCCAATATGTTCTCCTACCTCCTATGTGCCAGGCACAGCGTCCATGTATAAGTGAGGAAAATGCGGCTCCGATTCATGGGGCAGCACTTGTGAGGAGCGGCCTGCCACGGCCTGACTGCTCACCAGCCAGTGCAGAGGCTGTTTTTGGCTGAGGATGGAGACTGTGCCTGCTTCACATGTGGTTCCCAGGGGCTTGGTGCCTGGAACAGGGCAAGTGCTCGATACATATTAAGTGCATGAATATTCCATTCAGAGAAAAAACACAAAGAAAGGTTGCCTGTCTGGTTCTGTAGAATGGAAAGCTAAATTTCTTCCGCAGGGAATGTGCTAGCCTTTCACAAGCTAATTCGTTAAATAATAAAAATAAAACAGTGGTAGTTTCCCCAAATATCTACTCTCCTTAAGTTTAGTCTTCTGTGATGTTTGCACTATTAGTATTTGAGGAGTAGCTGGAAAATATTACCCAACAGTGGCGATGACTGGAACAATCACCCAAGCCACTGGTTTAGCAGCAGTTTTTCTTTTTAATTTATGGATTTGATGTTATTTTTGAGCTAGCAATGAAAGATTGCTCTGGACAGGAATGTATTCCAGATATACTACCGCTAGGGATACCTTTTTTCCCCACACACACCACTCCCCCAGAGGTTGAATGCAGAAGTAAAATTTCTCAGATAGTACAGAACTATACATTTACATAACTAGCACTTTCAATTCTAAATTTCTGAATTTTTGGAAAATTCTGGATTTGGCTCAATAATGTATTTTTCACGTACAAACTTCCGTCAGTACAAGCTGAAAGTTTTCTCAGTGAACCCTCCACCTAGATCAAAGTAAGGCTGATACTTTGTAACTAGGGAGCTAAAGCCCTGTTATTGAGAGCTGAAGTTTGAGAGTGAAATACATATAAATAGGGTAGCCTCGGTGGCTCAGTCAGTTAGGCCTTTGGCTGGGGTCATAATCCTGGGGTCCTGGGATCGAGTCCTGCATTGGACTCCTTGTTCTGCAGGGAGCCTGCTTCTCCCTCTGCCTACTGGTCCCCCTGCTTATGCACATGCTGACAAATTTTTTAAAATCTTTTTTTTTAAAGATTTATTTATTTGTCAGTAAGAGACAGATTGAGAGAGACCACAAGCAGGGGGGAGCAGCAGAGAGAGAAGGAGAAGCAGGCTCTCCACTGAGCAGGGAGACTGATGCGGGGCTTGATCCCAGGACCCTGGGATCATGACCTGAGCCAAAGGCAGACACTTAATGACTGAGTCACACAGGCGCCCCTCAATTTTTAAAAAAATCTTAAAAAAAAATACCAAAACATATAAAAAAGGGATACTTCTTGGGTTGGTTGGGGTGTCACACAAAAGAAGAGACACTGACTTACAGGAGTAGTTGATCTTTCAAAGACCAAATCAGATCTTAATTTAAACTTCAACCATAAAATTAAGATAAAGTGAAGACTAAAATAGTTTCCTCTAAAAATAAGTCGAGTCCATCAAAGCCCAGCCCAGAGAGTAATGCACACGGCCAACATGCCCTTCACTTACAATTGCTTTAATGGTTTAAAAAGAACTTCTCACTTTTACAAATAATTGTGTTCATGGACAAACTTTCAGCCTACAGAAGGGAGTATGGTTTTAGCTCGCATTGCAGGATGTAGATAAAGAGGCCCCCGATACTGATTTCTGGACATCGTAAGCTGGCCGGCTTCTCATATGTGGCTTAAAGCCCTTAAAACTAAGCTGAAACTTGGACTCTTCTGAGAATTGGCAAAGATAGCACATTCCACCTCTAGCCTTATCCCACCACCTCTTATTTGGCCCCACTTACTTTCAAAAGTGAAAAAAATGTTTAATTATATACATCTGTGGCCCTTTATAGAGTCATGAACAAACCACATTTGAGGTTTCTGGAATCCCTGGCCAGTCTGGGGTGAGCTAAGTCTCCTGCGCTTCCATTTTACTCATGTAGCAGCCTGTAAAGATCTTCACTGAAGGTCACATTCAACCCTGTTTTGTTATGGTCAGCAACTGGTGATAGGCTGAATTCAGGGACTCAGGCCCCAGTACCCACTAAAAAGTTTATCTGAGGATTCCAGTTGTGCTTCTAAAAAATCTTGCCAGAGGAGGAAGGGAGAACAGAATGGTTATAAAATACTTATATGTCAAGTAAAAACTTTTTAATATACGCAAAATTCCTAATATAAAAATAGTTTCTGCGTCATTGAAAACATTGAACAAAAAAAGTAGGTATATATTCTACTTAAAAAAAAAGATTTCTTTTAGAAGCACCCATCTACCATCTATCTGTGGAGGCTGGCACCTCTTCTGAGAGCGTCCCAAAAGCGTGGCACTGTAGCTGGGAGGGCAGGGGAAGGGTCTGAGCACTGAGGACCATGGAGGGAGGACCACGGAGGGAGGACCACGGAGGGAGGACCACAGAGGGAGGGCCACGGAGGGAGGACTACAGAGGGAGGACTACAGAGGGAGGACTACAGAAGGAGGGCCATAGAGGGAGGGCCATGGAGGGAGGGCCACGGAGGGAGGGCCACGGAGGGAGGGCCACGAAGCCACTTCGCCACACACCAGGCTCTGGCTACCTGCGGAAGGCCCTGGAGCTACGCTCCCTACCTGCGGTCATGTACCCGGTAACTTGCCGGCAGCCTTCACCAACCCCGTGCCTTTGCCTAGAAGAAAACCAGGTGATGATGTGTGAGAGCAAGCCGTCAAGCAGTCAAGTTGGAAGACCTCTGCAGTTCGGCTGTGTTTCATTTACTCCTCTCCGTCCTCGAGTCCGCTCGGGGGAGGCAGCTGAAGCAGCCCGCGCTCCAGGAGATGGGCAGCAGCGCCTCAGGGCCGGCCCGGCTTGTTGCTGGGGCTGAGCAGGAGCTTGGCGCCCTGCTTGTCCATGCTGGAGTTGATGCTGTCCGCTTCCTTCTCCTGCTCGGGGACGCACGTGCAGCCCACCGGCACCGTGACATACTCCTCGGTGTACACCGAGCGGCCGCCCGCGCACGCCGAGGTCCGCCGCAGGATGACGGTGGGCACGTACACCGGGGCGCTCCGGAAACGCAGGTCCTCCTCGCCGAACAGCCCGGTCAGGCAGCCCCTGCACAGGCAGTAGGCCTCGGGCAGGTACTTCGGGTACCTGGCGGGGTCGTAGGAAATTCTGCGGGGAAGAGAGCACGGCTTTAGTTCACGCTTCGCGGCAACAGGAACACACTGCGCGCTGAGAGAAGGCAGCCAATAGGACTTCCGCTTCCGGGATCAGAAGGTGTTGAGATCATTGATTAATGGAGCAGGAAGAAAGGTGGCACCGGGCAGTTCATCCCACAGTTAGCGTCCACGCAAGATCCCAATCTTAGACGCACCATGTGACTTTGCTGTATGTTAAATGGTGAAGACAGTTTATAACTGTTAGTACATTCCCTAAAAATGCTTCCAGAGTCTGTGCTAATATACACAGAAAAGTAAAATGTATCTATTCACGTTAATGACCGAAATTCACTGGCAAAGTGAAGAGATGTACAATGAAGCAGGCTCAGAGCCTGGAGTTAGAACCTGGCAGAGGCGGCTGTAATCTGGAGCAGCAGGTAAGCAAGCCACGTGCACACTGATAGGCGGCCACAGGGCCACCAGAATGTGAGAAGCCCTCCCTGCTTCCCGAGGAAACAACAGCCCTGAGCCCCAGAGCCCTGGTCCCTAAGGCTCCAGATCTGCCTCCCCTTCAGACACTAGGCTCTGCAGCCCCAGGGTACCACCCACACCCTTCCCCAGGAAGGTGCCACCTCTGCAAGAAGCTAGCTGGCCCAGGTGCCAGACGGTGCAGGCACCAGCCACATGGCCTCTGACACGGCTATCAGCAAAGGCAGCTGCAAGACACCTGTCCAGAAGGTCACAAGGCGGGCCCTGTGTCTGTCAGGGTCTGTGTGCCCTCCTCTGTGAAGGGGCCAAAGCCATGCTGGGGAGGGCAAGCTGGCCAGCCTGGGACATTTGAGAAGTTAATGCTTGTTTAAATGTGATCACTTCCACCCTCCTCCAAGGCTCTCTATTTTCTGGTCAGATGCCAAGAACCAATGTCAACACCTACAAAACAGCCCACTGCCACAATGCCAGGGGAATCTAGGGCTTGGCTGGGCAGGATGGCTCCCTGGGAGGGGAAAAAAAAGCACATTCTGGCAGGACTCTGCCCTCTGCCACCATCCCCTGCAATGAGCCAAGAGGTCAAAGCTGTGTTTGGTCACTAATGGAGACCCAGGGCTCCTCTGTAATGTCCCCTTGCACAGGAAAGGACGATCCCCATTCCTCATGGGACTGCCATTTCCATGGCAATGGGAATTCTCATTTCCACAAATTTCCCCCACTTAAAACATGTGTAATCCTCTTACGAATGTTTCTCTTGCTTCTGGAACTGAGTCTTAGGGACCCTAAACTCTCAGAGCCAGAAGTCAGGACTTCTGGCCTCTCAAGCAACACACACACACTTGTAGACCCACAATGTGCCAAGCCCAAGAAGGCCCCAAAATTGCTGTGCCAGTGGGAGCTTATGATATAAATTTTTAAAAATAAGGCGTTCCTAGAGGTCTTTACAGCCAAGAACTTGGGGTGTATATGGTTTCTCATCCAGGTTTCTGGATAGCAGAGTGTGGCTCCATGAAGAGGGACAGTGGCCCAGGCTGGCCTTCACCCTCTATGGCTTGCACAAGTTTTATATCCTTCAGCAGAAAACCCCTCTTGACTAGTTTTCTTATATGTCCCCCCTGCTAATGACTAAAGTTCATTCACAAAGTTAAAAAATTTCCAGTTAAGAAGCATGTTCAGACCATCCAGCTAATGGAGTAGTGGGGGGTAGGAAGCTTTGGAAAGGTAAGGGACAGGTCAGCGAGCAGTGGGGTGTCCAACAACAGAGCTGAGGATTTCTTGCAGAGAGGAGCTGTAATGTGGACAGACCAGCGGTGCTTACTGGAGCCAACTGGGGGCATCTCAGGGGTAGGAGGCAGAAGCCTGAATGGACATCAAGCATGGGAGGGACAAGGTTGTTACACTGATTGGCCAAGAGACTTCTCTATTGAGGAGCTCATGTCAAGAGGAAGGTGTTAACTCTCAATGGCAGGATGAGGGTGGGTGGTTCCAGATATGTAGGGAAAGTACATGGATTTCTTTTTCTGTTTGGATCCAACATCTTTAGACATTAGTAGACTGAAGCATAATTGGGTGGGGAAGAGTCTAGAAATTGTTATCTTCACACAGCACCAAATTTACTCACTGCCAACTACACGCCAGGGACCATGCCCCCCAGAGCCCGGAGCTGGGGGGCCCACCCAGGCATAGCGGTGGGGGAGCTGGGTAACACCTGCTGCACGCAGAAAGGAGGCCAGTGAGGCCAGGAGCCAACAGTTAAACTAGAGGACCCAGCCCAACCTGCCACTTGAGCATTCTAAAGCCAAGAGGGACATCTGCAGTACTTGGCCACTGTCTGAATGTGGGGGATAAGGTCAGAGGAAAAGTCAGCAGTGATTCCATAGCTTCCTGTTGGGGTGACCAGAAGAATGGGAGTAGCAACAGGGGGAGGGGGAGCTAGGAAGCCTCAGGTCTGGCCGTCCCTACTGGTGGTTGAACGCTGAGGCACAGACACCTTCACCTCCCTTCTCACTGCTATAAGACAAGGGCAGAGTCAAGGGTGAAGGCTAAGAAATCTGTTATGTGCAAACAGAAACAGGGAGGGGTGGGGACTATCTACACAATGTAAGTCATCTCTGAAGCCAAAACATTGAAATTTATACTGATGTTGTCTATTCATCCTTCCCTCCAACATGAACACAAAAATAGTGGTTGAAAAATATTTTTTAGGCTTCTCATTACTACTTTTTCCTCAGATCTGCCATCAGGAGCTTTTGGAACAAATGAGCTCTATCCTTGCAAGGACTGATAAAGTTGACCACCCCTACCATTCCAACTTTTTCAACCTCCTCTGTAAAGCCTTTTTCTTACCCCTCATCTGTGGTATGCAGAGGCACAGCACTGGGAGGACAAGTCAGGACAAATCCAAACTCTTTGCTTTGCCTTCAGAGGCCTCTGCAGCATGGTCCCTACTCCATTCCTTTCCAGCATTGCCTCAAGGTCTCCTCCTTCACACATCCTAGCCTACAGTCATCCCAAAGTGGAATGCCCCCTTGCATGTGCTACAGCTCAACTTTTACTCAAGATGCCCTCCCCCCCAAACCAATATTAAATCTTGCCATATTTTAAGGTCCAATTCAAATCATTAAGAGTTTTCAAATTTCCTTAGCCAAATTCATTCTTTCTTCCCCAGGCCCTCACAACACTTGGTGCCTGTGAAACAAAGCTACACTTTTTCTATGTTTTCCCCTGGGAGGGAAGATTCAGGGCTGTACTCTTACTCATCCTTGTCCCCTAACATGAGAGAAAGAGTTTGGTAGATGGTGAGCTGCTGATGGTGAGTCTGGATTGCATAGCTCCCTGTCCTTCATACCCTTAGGTCCATATAAGGCCCTAACTTAAAGTTTGATGAAAAAGGAATTTATACTATCTCTGGTCACCTTCAATATTTACTCAGCAACATCTGAGTGCGAGTGATGTTTCAGGCAATGAGGATAGAGATGAAACACAGATCTACTATCCAAGGACTCACCATTTCTGCCGATAAACACTTAGAGAGTTCATCCAGCTGTGGCAGCTGGGAAGGCTTCTTAGCAAAGGTGGTTCCTGAATGGATTCATGCAGATGAGGACGGGAGAAAGGGCAGTTAGGACAGAGGGCAGAGCCTAGAGCCCAGGGACCATGTCAGCATTAGGGAACTGTGGAACAGGAAGGGAAGTACGAGATGATGCAGGGGTAATCTGTGGAGGCTGGGTCATTAGGGGCCTCAAATTCATAGTGAGGAATTTGGATTGGGCCGTGAAGGCAAAGGGGAGGATGTTAAAAAGGGAAGTGACCCAATCAGATGGAAATTTAGACAGATCTTCCAGCCTACACAGTAGAATATGGTCTGGAGCCCAAGAGAGAGGTACTGGCTGAAGGTGGAGATTTTTAAATTATTAGCATATAGATGGTAGTTAAATAAGATCATTCAGGGAAGTATATGGAGAGACACAAAATGAAGGACAGGGAAAAGCAAGGGGAGGGGCAGAGCGAGATGGGTAGAGAGAGAATCTTAAGCAGACTCCCCACAGAGTGTGGAGTCCGATGTGGGGCTCCATCCCACAACCCCAAGATCATGACCAGAGCTGAAATCAAAAGTCAGATGCGTAACCAAATGAGCCACCCAGGCTTCTGGGAAAACCAATTTTTAAGGGAGAATATGTCTCACTGTGGAGATTGACAGAATCAGGAGTGGCAATCCCTGAGCCAAGGAGGGTGGACACTAAAGAGGGGCTGGCCAAAAACTGGAACTGAGGGGGCTAGTTTACTGGAACTAGAGGGATGGAGGAACATGTTAAATGGCACTATGAGGATATGACCAACAGCATACAGAACGCTGGAAATTCAGCACATGTTTATTCCAAGGGAGAAAGGAGGGAGGGAACCCCAAAGAGCACTGAGGAGAGTGACATAAATACAGGGACATGGGGCACCGCTAACATGCTTTACACCCACTGTCTCTGTGCTGTTGTGAATTGAGCAACTTTTTACTTGTAAGTGTCTCCGTTTGGATGAAAACTTATGGTTGCTTAAAAAAAAAAATCAGGGGCACCTGGGTGGCTCTGTGGTTAAAGCCTCTCTGCCTTCGGTTCTGGTCATGATCCCGGGGTCCTGGGATCGAACCCCGCATTGGGCTCTCTGCTCAGCCAGAGGCCTGCTTCCCTCTCTCTCTCTCTGCCTGCCTCTCTGCCTACTTGTGATCTCTGTCAAATAAATAAATAAATATCTTTAAAAAAAAAAATCAAACCCAAACTAAGGAACTTTCCAAAAAACAACTGACCAGTACTCTTTAAAATGTCACAGTCTCAAAAGACAAAGAACGAAAAACTGCCGCAGACTGAAGGCCACTAATGGGCCTAACCACCAGAGGCTGCGTGTGAGCCCGGGTGAAGTGCTGGGGCAGACAAGGGGCATTAGTGGACTGGCTCTGAGTAAGGACTCTGGATTCTAGGATTGTTATCAAGCATTTTCTGATCTTGATAATTCTACTGAGTTTTGATGCTGTCA